TATGCTGAAAGCACCCAGGCCCTCCAGGGCCCCATCCCTGTCCCATCCCTCCTGTCCTGTCCCCTGGGGTGACTCACTTGTTCAGAGTCAGCTCCAAAGCCTCCTTCTCGCTCCTGGCTTCTTGGATCCGGTGCCTCATCTTGGCCAGGAAGTCCTCCAGGTTGTCCAGCAGCTGGGGCTCATCCTGACGGAGTTTCACCCAGAGCTGCCAGATCTCCTGTCTGCAGGGAGAGGTGTTTTGGGGTGAGCATCCCCCCAGAACCCCCGAAACCAGGCCAGCTGAGTCATTTAACTCACACATTTTTGAGATGTGCGAGGACCGATGAGCACTGGGGTCACTGGGACCCTGCTCCTGTGCTCAGGCCAAGGTATTCCTGGGCTCCCTGCCTGTGTGGAGTCTCCTGCCCCAAGCCTTTCCCCGTCTATCCATTGTGCAGGACACCCGTGGGGTGCCCAAGCAGGGCACTTACTCTTCAGAGAGGTTTTCTGTGCCCAGCTGCTCCATAAAGGCAGCGAAGTGTCTGCGCTCCTCGCTGTTCCCCCCTTCCAGCGCCGGGGTGGGGAGGACCAGCCGGACCCTGCGGGACGCGGTCTTCCGCCGCCGGTGCTCCCTGGAAGCTGTTTGGGAGCTCAGGAACTGCCCTGTTGACAGATATCCCAAATCCTCAGTGCCCAGGCAGCAAAGCCCAAACCCCAGCGCTTCCCCCTCCACGGCTTCAACAAAGCGGTTTAGCACAACAGGGCCCCGCAGCAGGTGAGCCAAGGGCTGAGAGCTGGTCACGGGGAGGATTCATCCCATGCCACGCTGCAAAGGCAGCGTTTCACATCCCCAGCAGAGCCCCAGGACTGTGACCAGGATCAGCCCGGGCTGCACTTACGGAGCCCGGCCGTGAACTCCTCTGTGCCCAAGCGCCCGGTGCCAGCTGCATCCAGCCCATCGAACACCAGCTCCAGCTCCTCCCTGCTGCACGGCAAACCTTCCGCCTGCAGCTTCTAAAACCAGAGCAAATCAGGGTAAAAACCCACCCGTGACACCATCTCCAGTCACCCTGGCAGTGCTGGACCCCAGGAGATGCCCCCATCCTCACCTGCACGTCCGAGCGGGTGATGACTCCTGCCTGCTCCGTGGCCCGGTGGCTGAGGAGGTGCTGCACCCTCTGCACTATTTCAGATGCCCACGGTGGCTCCTCACCGGGGCTGGGCGCTGGTGCTGGGGCCTCCCTGGAGCTCTCAGGCAGCTGCTTGCGCCGGCTGGAGCCCAAGCGCCGGCCCTTGGCGGCCGCCCGGCGCTCAGACATGGCGCTGTCCTCACCACACACCTTTCCTCCAGCCTGGTGGAGAGGGACCGAGCTGGAAATTCATTTTGCTGCTGTCCAGAACCCAAAATTGCTGAGGAGGGTTTGCAGCAGGAAGGGAAGCCCTTATCTCCGAGTGCATGGTACAAATGGAGCCTGGATCAGCGGCAGCTGTCCCAGGGGCTCCCAGCCCAGCTCCCACCTGCTGAACAGCTTCTCCTGCCACCAGCCAAGCACCCATCCCAAATCTCCCTGTGCTCTTCCCTGGCTGTGGAGGATGCACAGGGCACCAGAACCAGCAAAGGCCACCCAGGAGGTGACACAGCCAGGAGGTGACACCAGCAGAGGACCAGCGGAGGTGATGCTGGAGGCGTGAGCAGGAAGTGCTGGTTCCACCTGCCTTCTCAGAGCTCAGCAGCACCTTTTAAAATTCCTCCCCCAGTTTTCACAGCCGTGAGTCACCTCCGGGCACAGGGCACAAGGGCTCGGGAGGTTTCCATCACGCTGCTGCTCGCCCAGGCTTGTGGGGCCTGAGCTGGGCACCCCCAGTGCCCTGTCCCCATGGTGGGTGGCCGTGTCACCAACAGCCACCATGCCACCCCCAAGAGGGGCTGTTCTTTGCGTGGCAAAGCTGAAACTCTGAGGGAAGGAAACCGCAACCATGGGGAGCAGTGACGCAGAGCCGGGGCCATGCTCGGTCTGGCTGAGCCCAGCTCTGCACTCCCAGCCTGGGGAGATGCCAGCTCCTCCAGCCCTCTGCCCCCTCCTTTTGCCATGAGAAACAGATCCTGCTAAATCCCAGGTACGGGGAACAGGGCCCAAAACCAGCCCCAACCCCTTGAAGCCAGAGGGTCTTGTGGAATTGCTGGAGTCCCACAGGACCAGAAACAGCTTTGTGGTGGTCCCAGCCTCTAAGACAGCAGGAGTGGGAGCTCCTTGGGGCAGGGGGGTTACTTAAGGCATGGAGAAGCCCCTGGGTACCTGCCCCAGCCCCAGGGCAGGTGAGCTGAGCCTACCACATGATGGAGGCACTGAACAAGCAGGGGGTTAGGGTGGGGTGGGATGGGATGGGAATTATGCCCCCCCCCTAGCCAAGCAGGGCCCCCCATGGCATCACCAGCTCTCAGTGTCCTCCCTCCACAGCTCCCTGTGCTGCTCCCAGCCCTCAGAAAGGGACAGCCACAGCCCCTCACAGGCAGCAGGAAATCCCCTTTGGATCACCAACAGCAAGAAAAACCTTTTATTTCCCTCCCTTTTCTACTTCTTAAGGTGATGCCTGAGTTATCCCCAGGGCAGCAGGACTTACCCTCCCCACGTGCCAAGAGGGATCCTCAGTTGGAGCACACGAGGCCAAGGGGCTCCCCAGGCCAGGGGGTCTCCAGTCCCACCCCGAGGGTGCCCGAGCTGCCCCGTGGCCCCGCTCTCGTCTCTCTTACTCAAGGCACTTTCCGTTCTGACACTCAACTGCCGGTGCTCACACATTTCCTGTTTGCTGCGCTGCAAGTGGGGTGTGGGAAGGACCCATCAGAGGGTCACGCTGCCCCCAAAGTCCTCAGATCCCAGGGCAGCTCTGCAAAGGCACTGCCAGTGCCATCGGGAAGGGCAGAAAAGTCCCCACCCTGTCCTGGTTTGCAATAGTCTGGGGCTGGGGGGTGTTTGGAGTGGGGGGAAGAACAGCAGACGAACAGCAAATGTTATTTTTAAGACTCCAAATAACACAAAATACAAGATTAGTTGTAACCCCCGGATTTTAACATCCTGCCAAAGACAGAACAACCTGAAAATACCCCCCTGTGGAGGTTCTTTTGCCCCAGAATTTGAAGATGTTCCCCCTGTGCTGTTCTCTGATGGTTTTATAAGGCTCCTGCCAGAATTATAAACTTGGCTTTAAACCCAGCAGCAAACCCACTGCCTGCCCGTGGGCTGCAAGCACTCAGCTTCATGAGGGATCAGATGGACCACAGGCATTTTTCCTGCCCTTTAGCTGCAAAATGTGAAGAGAACTCAGGCAGGAGGAAACACTGCTATCTCTAGGGCATAATTCAAACTAACACCCCCTGGCTCAGAGCAGATCTGAGCCCAGGCTTGCAGGGCAGGAACTGTGGGGTAGAAGCTGATGCCCAGACCCTAAACTGGTGAAATCCCTCACTGGGAACCAGCCACACCCTGCTCGTTTGCTGTTTAACCTAACGGAGCTCGGGTCCATCCACTCCATCAGGGCATTTATGGGCCAGATAAAAGCTTGGCTGGTTCTTCTCCACACTCTGGGCAAAGCTGGTGCTGCTTACCCCAAACTGAAGCATTCCTTTGGTCAGGCTGGGGGCCTGACTGATGTAAGCGTGTCCTGCAACCCTCTGCAATGTTCGTCGCTGCACACAAAAGGCTGGATTTGGGTTTGCTTCCCCCAAGGATTTGAGGAGAAAAATTTCCCTTTTGAAGGGAAAACCCTGAATATCCTGGGAGAGCTTGATTTGTGCCCTCTGCCCAGCAAGACTCTGCCATCATGCTTCCAGCACCGGGACCAGAAGCAGCCATGGGAGGGGCACAGCCCAGGAGGGAGGGTAAGACCCAACCCCAGTGAGATGCTGGAAGGTGTTAGTGAAAGGGGTTTGAGCATGGACAAGGGAAGGGAACCACCTGACCCTTCCCCTGTGGGGGTTTGACCATCCCTGCTCTGTGCTGAGGCTGGGCTGGGGAGCAGCAGAACACAGCCTGGGCTGAAAGTGGGAAGTTTCCATCCATTCCCCAGCTGCAGGGAACCCATCACTGTTTTGTGTCCCCAAGCGGAGGGGACACAGCCCTGGAGTGTCCCAGGGACTCAGAACTCAAGCCCTGGTGCCCAGCTCCCTCTCCCCAGAGCCACAAACACCGACAAGGGGGTTTCACTGATTCCTTTCTCGTTTCTATTTCTCATTTCCTTCATTGTCACTGCTCCTGGCAAATGGGAGGGGACAGCAGAGGGGAGCTCCTGGCAGCAGCCAGGGGGCTTTGGGAGGACTGATGTAAGGGGAAAGATTACAGGGGCTACATCTGTAGGGTTTGACTCAGCAGCAGCTCAAAGGCTGAGTGTGTGTCAAGGGCCACAGGCCTGCGTGGATGTCACCCCACACTCCAGAGAAAGGCAAATGCTTTAGGGAGCCTCAGCTGAACAATGACAGGAGGTTGTTCATTGCCATCAACTTTATTTTCATCTGGATCCTCTGCAAATCAGGTCATTTCTCACATTGACCAGACCCTGAGTCTGCATCCAAGCCTTGCTCAGGGTCCTCCAAGGAAGCAGCCAGTGGCAGAGACATCCCTGACTCCCAGGGGATCTCAGTCCCACCCAGGAAATGCCACTGCACATTTCTACCACATGCTCTTGTGTCCCCATCCCACAGCCTGGGTCACCCTTGTGGGCCCCTTTGAAGGGCCAAGGGAGGGGAGCAACTTGCCCATGGCCAATGGCCACTTGCACCACAGGACAGGGTCCCAGAGGGGAAGGGGGAACGATGGGGACAACAGAGGAGCCACTGTCATACAGGGGTCCTGCAGGGCCATCCCACTGGCACCAGCCACTGTCATCAGGGAATGGGGTCAAGCACAGAGGTTGTGGCAAGGATTTATCCCTCTTAGCCCCCACAGAGGGATCCACAGCCCCTGGAACACCCTCCTCCCCAGCCAGCCCCTGCTCCAAATCATCCTCATTAACCCAGAAATCCTTTGCACAGCTGTTTATTCAGAGTTAACACTTACAGACAAACAGGTATTTCCCCTTTCCCCACATACACTTAATAGCATTATTTTAAATATAAATAAACATTTAGTGCTGGGAGCTTGGCAGCTTCACCGACAGCAAAGTGCATCGTGGTGCAAGGTGGGAGATCAACCCTGTCCCTTTCCTTCCTGGGACCATCTTGCACCAATTTCCCGAGTCCAAATCCAGCAGAGCAGGAGATGAACCCCATGAAAGTGCTGAGACTCATCCTTCAGTGCTGGAACTGAGCAGCCTCTGCTCCAGGCCATCCCCTGGTGCCAGAGCAGCACCAGGTGCGGTCCTCTCCCCGCCAGCCCCAAAGAAGAAAAAGTCCAGGAAAACAAGCTACAATTCCTTATTTCAACATCATCCCTGCTGCTGAGCAGGGCTTCTTCCTAGAGGAGCCCAACAGAGCCGGAGCAGGGGCTCCCCAGCCTGGTGTCAGTGTTGAGGGAGGCAGGGATGTGGGCATAGGCAGCACCACTCAACAAGACAACAACAAGTGGGGTTTGGGGCCAGCAGAGTGCAGACGATCCCAGGGGCAGTGCTGGTCCCCCGGTGGCTGTTCCTGCTGAGTCACTCCAAGGAAGGGCTGTCCAGGGAACAACTTCCTCTCCCCAGAGCCCTGGAAGGAGCAGCCTCCACATCACCCTGCTCCCACACACGGACAAGTGCTCGGGTCCATCCTGCTGGGGCACAGGGCCACCCACATGTGCCAGCAGCCAGGGTGCCCCAGAGCTCTACAATCCACACCAGTGACTTTTCTTGAAGGTATCTGGTGCCACCAGGTGGTTGGGACACAAGTGTCCCCCTAGGACCGGCCCCTAGGCAGGGGATGGAGCACAGCTGGGCAGCAGGATGGCACAAGGACGGTGTTTGGACCCACAGGCACAGGGCAGAGGATACTTTTCTGCAGGCAGGGCAGTGCCTTTATCCCACCTGGCCCATCTCAGTCCTTCTCCAGCCCCGTCGTGGGGCTCCTCCTCTACATTGCACACAGTGAAGGTCCCTCAGGACCCCAGAGCTACTCATAAATAGGGAACTAAAGACTCTACATTGCTTTGTACAGATAGCACAGCACAGGCTGGGGGAGCCACGTCCCCCCGGCGTTGGCAGCTGCCCCAGCGAGTCACGGCCGGGGCCGCGCAGGGACGATCCTCCGCTTGGCACTGTAGAAGTCTGAAAGGAAGAGGGAAAGGGTTGGAAAGTGTCTCCAGCCCGCTGGGAGCAGAAGGAGAGGAAGAAGGACATGTCCCCAGGAAGGCACCCCAAAATCAGCCCAGCTGGATTTCACCTTCAAGCCCCCATGCAAAGCTGCTGGAGAGCAGAGATGTAAATCTGAATTATCTCTGCTTGTCTCATGTACAGTTCCACTCCAGGCCCTGACCATGGAGGATAGGAAGAAATTTTTCACTGTGAGGGAGGTGAGACACTGGCACAGGCTGCCCACAGAGGTTCTGGATGCCCCAACCATGGAAATGTTCAAAGCCAGGTTGGATAAAGGCTTTGAACAACCTGGTCAGTGCCCATGCGACTTTAAAGAAGATCTTTAAGGTCCATTCCAGCCCCTAAATATTCTGTGACTCTGTGGTTGGGTCAGGCCATTGGAACTGAAGATGATGAATTTGGGGGCATCTTCAGCTATAAAACCCACAGGCCCAATGCCAGACCCCTGCACAAACCCCAGCAGCCAAAAGGCACCCAGCTGTTGGCCTCTTTCCCTTTGGCAGATGGGCTCTGCTTCCCTAGGAGAGATCCACAGAGAGTGGGACCCCTCCCCATGCCCAAGAACCAGGCAGGGCTCTGGTACCCAAGTCCCCTCTGTCTGTCCCTGCCATGACATCAGTGCCACCAAGCCCCCAGGGAGCGACACCAGCCCCAGCGCTCACCTTTGATCGTGGTCTGCCCACGTTTCAAGCTCTGCGAGGAACCAGCCTTGTAAGCCTTCGAGCTCTGTTGAGACTCCTCGGGGCAAATCCTGCCAACATGGTCCTTGGGGGGGACCCTGTGGGCCAAGGAGCTCCTGCTGTCACTGCTGGTGACAGCCCTGACCAGGCTGTGAACCTCCTGGGGCGGCTGCTCAGCCACGAGGATCCTCTCCCACTTGAACGGCCCTTCCAAGGGAGTCTCTGTCTCAAAGTCGAAGTTCCAGCGCTGCTGAGCTTCTTCCAGCTGCTGTCTTATCTTGTCCTCAAAGTCATGCTGGAGCTGCTCGTGGTCCACAGGGCCAAAGAGGTTCCTGCACACCTTGCTGCTGCACGGGGTCTGCCCAGCCCTGCTCTGGGACAGCGGCATCGTGGCGGCTGCGGGGAAACCAGAGCCAGTTACAGGCATTGGGAGGGCAAGAGCAAACACGGGAGAGTGTTGGCCACCAGGGCAAAGCACGCGGTAGCCAAGGTGGGATGAGCTGGGCTGGGTCTGCACTGAGGCAGCCCAGAGGGGACTGACACATCTCGACTCTGACTTTGGAGATTTTAGCAGAGGCTTGAGCATGGCTGAGGTCAGACACAGCCCAGTGCAACACAGGAGGGTGGGGAAGGTGCAGATGTCAACATTCCCTATTCCTCCTCCAGCAGGCAAAGCCCTGCCAGGTCAGAGCATCCAGCGCCTCATGCTGCCACAGGCCCCACTCAACACTCCTCAGAGCCACACCAGAATGATGCTCCCCTGGTCCCCAGACACTGCCCAACCTGCTCATTCCCACTTCCATGCAGGCAAGGGCAAGTTGGCACACGGGCAAGTGAAGCAACAGGATGTTTTTCTGGCCAGTTTCTTCATCTCAAGAACCCAGACCCAGTGGTAAGGAAACCTTCAAGCAACTGCAAGAACATGCCACAAGCTTGACCACTTTGTTAACCACCCTTCTTATCTGCAAGGAGCTCTTGGGTAACCAGAAACAAGACCTTGTTTGTTTTTTTTCAAATCGGTGCCAAAAGCCTTGACCTTCCCAGTAAATGACAAAGCCTTTCCATCCAAGCAGTCCTTTCCCTGACACACGTGTGGGGACAGTGGACCCCTCACTACACCCCCCACTTATGAGGAACCAGAATGAGAATTGTTAAGGCTGGAAAACACCTCCGAGATCGAGTCCAGCTGATAAGAGTCAGCACTGCTCTGGGATTTGAGTTTTCAGAGCTAAGGCTTACTCCCGGGGGGACAGCCACACTCATTAAATCAACTTTAAAAAGGAAGATTCATAGCTCCCATTTCCCACCTAATCTGGGACTCCCAAAGCCAGGCCACAAAAGATCCTCCCCATCCCCAAACTTCCCCATGAAGTGAGTTCTCAGCCTCCTGCAGGGAAGATTTCACCCCAAATTCAGCACCTGCAACCCCTCTGGATTGCCTGTGCCACACTATCTTCCCCACATTCCACTCCTTGAAGCAAGGAACGACTGGATGTGGCACTCAGAGCTCTGGTCCAGTTTACCAGGTGAGGATCGGTCAGTGACTGGACTCGAGGATCTTGGAGGTCTTTCCCAACCTTAATGATTCAATGATCCTGTTACCAGGCATGGGACAGCACGGTGTGCTGGTGGGCAGTAGGGAGTGCCCAGCCTGGGGCTGGAGTGCTACGTTCAGTTCCTGGGGCCACCCCCGTGGGCACCCTGTGCTCAGACTCAGCATCCCCGAGTAAAAATAGAAATCCAGCTTCCTATCTCCGGGCAGTCTGAGCACACTGACAAGGGTGACCTCACTGCCAGGCAAGTCCCAGCATGTCCAGGCAAGTCCGGGCAGGTAGCGGGAGAGGGACACGTTCCGTCACCCTGATCAGACACCCCCAGCCCTCCCCGCCCGCGTCACGAGCCGATGTCCCCATCCTCAGGTCACCGACGCGACTCAGGTGCCACCCTGGAGCCTCAAGATAACACCGCACCCTGAGTCACGGCTGCGGATTGCCAAAGCCACCAATGGGGGAAGGACCGGGGCCGGGTCATCGTCCCCTCCCATGGCGCTGCTGCCGCTTCCAGCGACCTCTGCCCAGCAAGAGCCTCGAGGCTCCCGGCCGAGAACCCCAAGATTTGGGCGAGGAAGCGGCAGGTGCACCGCCACATCAAAACTTCTTCCAGCCGAGCCGGGTGATGTGAGCACCCCTGGGGGACACCCAGCGGGGCTCCACAGACACCTGCGACACCCAGGACCAGTCACACCAGTTCGGGGAAGGCTGGGCTAGCAGGAGGGGCTGAGGAGCGTGCGGGAGTGGCTGAAGCCGCTGATGCCGCGCAGAGAACGGCCGGCTCATGGCACCGATGGGCCCGGGGGGGCTGGCACGGGGGTGGCCGGTCCCCGCCCGGCCCCGCAGGATGCTCGGCGGCGGGGCCGCGCCCGCACCGCACCCCGCCCTGCACCCCGCATCGAGCACCCTGCGCCGCACCCCGCATCGAGCACCCTGCGCCGCACCCCGCATCGAGCACCCCGCATCGAGCACCCTGCCCTGCACCCCGCATCGAGCACCCTGCCCCGCACCGCGAGGGGGCGAGCGCGACTCAGACCGGGGGCTCCGCACCGCCAGCCCCGGCACGGCCAGCCCCGGCACGGCCAGCCCCGGCACGGCCAGCCCCGGCCCGGCCAGCCCCCGGC